ACCTACATAGGTTCCTGCATGTTGGTATGCGCATATTTCTGCCCTTCTGTCAGCCTACTCTTATGTCTACTTGCCTTTTTTGCTTGTCTGCCTACCTGCCTGCCTGCCTGTTTGCTTGTCTGCCTGGATTTAGCGTTTCACTTAGGCTTTAGTAATAATTGTTGACACAACATAGCTGGGACTACAGCATCATTACGTAAGTCAGGGAAGGTCATGCTATGACAGTCATTCTGGTGGGTCGTGACGCATTACCCTCACCACCGAGGGAGAGAAGACTGAGGAAAGAGGAGAGACAAGAAGAATGGGTGACGCCACGAAGGAACACAGATAATATTTGTACAGCGTTATGGGAGGTTCAGAAATAATGATAATAATAATAATAATAATAATAATAATAATAATAATAATAATAATAATAATAATTTTATTTGATACAAGTACATGTACAAGGTATACAGACCATAGCTAACATCAATGACATACTACTACATAGAAAACCCTTTCTTATGGAAAGCATTTCGGGAAAATTAGGTCAGTTTTGTCCCCAGGATGCGACCCACACCAGTTGACTAATGTAGAAAATTTTGAATTTTCCTAAATTCAGCATGTGTAAATTTGAATAATATAATAATTGTATATTAAAATGTGATGCTGATTTATCCTTTCTAGAAATTTCGAGTGAGGGGGGGGGATGTAGAACAGCCGCCATTTGTAATTTGCAAGCACTGGTTGTCGTGGAAAATTGTGCAGTGTAATCAGGCGTCATCGAAGTTCAGTTGGTGTATATCGAACTCAGTCCGTAATTTAGAAATTGCTGACACGTTCCCGCTGAAGAATTGGGATAGTGTGGGAAAACCCTTACAATTCGGCTACAAGGACGGAAAAATAGGGGACTCCGATCCTTCCCAGCAGCACACCTTAGCTAAGTGATGCTTACCATAACGTATAGTAGTTTTGCGTTGGCCATCGTAAGCTCTAGCTATTGGGGTAGCGTTAGGGTGTGTTATAAATAAAAATTGTGATCCAGTAATTAAATGGTAAGTGGTAATACGAATTTCTTTTCTAATAACATTATAATTCATGTACAATAATCATATTGTGTGCACCGTGAAAGCCCAATCATATACAGTCTACACTATTTTATAATTTACCACTACTGGCATTAATGTTTAATATTGTAATTATTAATTTAATGTCAGGTCTAGCTTTTTGTGAGAGTGGTAATGGAGTGGGCATCGAGGGAGTGACAGTTCTGCGACCTGACCTACAGTGACTAAGTCCCACTTACCTCGCACAAATTACTTGCAGGTAATAATTCAGGTAATTCCCATTAAACCTCCTGCAGGTAATGGCTTACATAATAATATAATTCACAAGTAACACCCAGGAACTTATTTTACTGATGGGTGAACATGGACAACATGTGTCTTAAGGAAACACGGGGGTCGATCCCCAGTACCCCGGACCTAAATGTGTGAGATGAGTGCGCTACCAACCGAGCTACGGGACACCGTAGAGCGTCGTAGCAGTGAAGGGACTCACCCAGCGATCATAGAGGCCGTGAATATCAGCAGTGAATATCTTTATAAAATGTTAGGAGATGACATCAGGAGGTGAGATTGTCAGAAGAAAATACTATAAGAGATCTTATATTGCTGATTGTATTCCATGTAACTGTAAACCCTTGTGGGTCACTACGCGCAAGACGAGGTTCAGCCTCGAACCTCCGTTCATTTATCACGGACGGAGGAAGAGACAGAATTTCAGAAGAGAGGTAGAAGAGATGAAAATTTGACTTTTCATGTTATTTTTTTTTTGGGGGGGGAAGGAGTTTATATACTATTATTGATATAAAAAATGAAAGAGAGAGAGAGAGAGAGAGAGAGAGAGAGAGAGAGAAGCAGTTTGTGGTCTTCATCTCTGGCACAGCTGATCACGCCTCGCTCAGCTGTTGAAATCACCTCAACACATACATGTTGATGTTCAGTATACACACACACACACACACACACACTTCGGGGCCAGGAGCTAAGACTCGACCCCTGCAACCACAAATAGGTAAGTACACACAAACACACACACACACACACACACACATTTCGGGGCCAGGAGCTAAGACTCGACCCCTGCAACCACAAATAGGTAAGTACACACACATGGCAAGTGACGTAGTGGAGGCAGGAATCATACATAGTTTTAAGACGAGGTTTGATAAAGTTCATGGAGCAGGGAGAGAGAGGATCAGTGAAGAGGCGAGGCCAGGAGCTATGACTCGATCCCTCCAACCACAAATAGATGAGTACACACTCAAACACACACATATACACACGAAATTAAGAAATATTTATATATATGACTAATTCGCAAACAGGCGAAATTATTTACAAGCAATAACTCTTAGTCCACAGCAGGATTCGAACCTACAAACTCTGTATCAGAGCATCCAGAGTCTGGCGTTGTGGATGAAGTACTAAGTGCTATAATCCAGAATTTACTGGTTCGAATCCTGCTTTGGACTGAGAGATAATGTTATATATAATATATATATATATATATATATATATATATATATATATATATATATATATATATATATATATATATATATCAGATATTTATCAAGGACTGAATGGGAATACTGTGTTGGTGTCAGCTTTGAACGTGGATGTCTGGATGCTGGTGAAGGCTCTTGTTTCAAGGAAATGAAGCCGTCCGTCACTTCCTAAGATCAGACTTGGTTATCTTTCATTCCCCAGGCGCGCTGTGGACCCTGCGGCTTTAACGCTTCCCCACATTTTCCCTGGGAAATAGGTGTTGAGATATAACATTTTTCATGGGACTTTTAACCCCGGGGACTAACCTTCCCCCGGGATAACCCAGTATAGTCAGTTGATCATCGGCACTGTTAGCTTCTCCCCCAGGATGCCACCTACAGCAGTCGACTAACACCCAGGTACCTACTTACTGCTAGGTGACCAGGGGCAGCAGGGCTAAGAAAGATACTCAACATTTCTCTCGTGCCGGGAGAGAACCCCGGTCCCTGAGTGTGAGCAGACGATGCTATTAACTGAGGCACGAGCCAGGTTTAATCCGAGGAAGAAGAGGCTAGCGTCATGTTTACCAGCGTGAGGGTATCCCAGCGGGAGGTACCCGGAGTAGTGAGATACCCAGGCTGACGAAGTAGTGAGATACCCTGGCTGACGGAGTAGTGAGATACCTAGGCTGACGGAGTAGTGAGATACCCAGGCTGACGGAGTAGTGAGATACCCAGACTGACGGAGTAGTGAGATACCCAGACTACCGGAGTAGTGAGATACCCAGGCTGACGGAGTAGTGAGATACCCAGGCTGACGGAGTAGTGAGATACCCTGGCTGACGGAGTAGTGAGATACCCAGGCTGACGGAGTAGTGAGATACCCAGGCTGACGGAGTTAGTGAGATTACCCAGGCTGACGGAGTAGTGAGATACCCAGGCTGACGGAGTAGTGAGATACCCAGGCTGACGGAGTAGTGAGATACCCAGGCTGACGGAGTAGTGAGATACCCAGGCTGACGTAGTAGTGAGATACCCAGGCTGACGGAGTAGTGAGATACCCAGACTGACGGAGTAGTGAGATACCCAGGCTGACGTAGTGAGATACCCAGGCTGACGGAGTAGTGAGATACCCAGGCTGACGGAGTAGTGAGATACCCAGGCTGACGAAGTAGTGAGATACCCTGGCTGACGGAGTAGTGAGATACCTAGGCTGACGGAGTAGTGAGATACCCAGGCTGACGGAGTAGTGAGATACCCAGACTAACGGAGTAGTGAGATACCCAGACTACCGGAGTAGTGAGATACCCAGGCTGACGGAGTAGTGAGATACCCAGGCTGACGGAGTAGTGAGATACCCTGGCTGCTGGAGTAGTGAGATACCCTGGCTGACGGAGTAGTGAGATACCCAGGCTGACGGAGTAGTGAGATACCCAGGCTGACGGAGTAGTGAGATACCCAGGCTGACGGAGTAGTGAGATACCCAGGCTGACGGAGTAGTGAGATACCCTGGCTGTCGGAGTAGTGAGATACCCTGGCTGACGGAGTAGTGAGATACCCAGGCTGACGGAGTAGTGAGATACCCTGGCTGACGGAGTAGTGAGATACCCAGACTGACGGAGTAGTGAGATACCCAGACTACCGGAGTAGTGAGATACCCAGGCTGACGGAGTAGTGAGATACCCAGGCTGACGGAGTAGTGAGATACCCAGGCTGACGGAGTAGTGAGATACCCTGGCTGTCGGAGTAGTGAGATACCCTGGCTGTCGGAGTAGTGAGATACCCAGGCTGACGGAGTAGTGAGATACCCAGGCTGACGGAGTAGTGAGATTCCCAGGCTGACGGAGTAGTGAGATACCCAGGCTGACGGAGTAGTGAGATACCCTGGCTGTCGGAGTAGTGAGATACCCTGGCTGACGGAGTAGTGAGATACCCAGACTGACGGAGTAGTGAGATACCCAGACTACCGGAGTAGTGAGATACCCAGGCTGACGGAGTAGTGAGATACCCAGGCTGACGGAGTAGTGAGATACCCAGGCTGACGGAGTAGTGAGATACCCTGGCTGTCGGAGTAGTGAGATACCCAAGCTGACGGAGTAGTGAGATATCCAGGCTGACGGAGTAGTGAGATACCCAGGCTGACGGAGTAGTGAGATACCCAAGCTGACGGAGTAGTGAGATACCCAGGCTGACGGAGTAGTGAGATACCCAGGCTGACGGAGTAGTGAGATACCCAGGCTGACGGAGTAGTGAGATACCCAGGCTGACGGAGTAGTGAGATACCCAGGCTGACGGAGTAGTGAGATACCCAGGCTGACGGAGTAGTGAGATACCCTGGCTGACGACTGGTGTTAGGAGCGTAGTAAAGGGGTGGGGGGGGGTCCTACCTTCCTCAAGGTCCTCCCTGGCTGCTCCGTCTACAACTCACCTACATCAGTGATCTTTACTACATGTAGAAAGAAGCTGTAGCACGTCTTTTGTGTCTCAACTTGTGTTGTGTCAAGCATGGTGCTCTGAGCATAACAGTGTTGCTGTGACAGTCAATACCTGATTGTTTTGTGGTTACTCGCGCGTCTGGCAGCCAGCGAGGCGATTTTCCACACGGTTGGTGGCACCACAGGTGGAACTTGGCCACCACAATATGCCGTATTTTGCTGTTATGGATGAATGTCAGCAGTGTATGTGTAGGTGTACTCCTGGTGTGGAGTGTCAGGAATGTGAGGGTAGTTGTAGATATGCGGTAGGAGGATGAGGTTAGCTGGGAGAGTCATTGTTGTGGGGTTGAAAGAAGCGGCGGCGGCGGTTATGGGTGGGTGTGGGGCCACCCAGGAACCTCTGATGGTGGGGTGGTGAAGGCGTCCTGTGGTGGGCCGGCCAGGCACAGTGTGACCCCGCCGGTGTTGACGAGAGCACGCTACCAGTCGTGCCACCCGCCACACACACACACAGGCTTTACATTCGTATGAGCCACCTTCATACGAGTGATACACCTGAATTCTGATGGCTGACAAAAGTCCTGGAAAGTCGCCACCCTCCGGGGAGGGTGGCGATCGTAGTCGACCTGACAAACACAAGCGCTCACTCCTCAACAGGGTGTCCTTCTTCGAGCAGGTTTGGTGGGGACGAAACAGGTCGCCTTCACTAGAGAGGAAGGGGTCACCTTCGAGTGAGCGCAGATCCCCTTCAGTAGAGCGTGGCGAAGAAGCCTTCGCTGACGATGCTGATTCAAGTCCTGGGAAGGAGAAGCGGCTTCGGCGGGAGAGTAGCAGCCCGGTCAGGGAGACGCCCCTGCCTCAGAGTCGCCCCTCAGCTAAGAGTGACGAGGAGTGGGAGTGGGTGGAGGACGAGACCACCTCCACCTTGGCTGAAGACATCGAGCGTCGCCTCGAGGAGAGGCGAAGAATAAGATCTGGCAGCATGACGCCGACGCGGGAATGGGCACAGCTCCGACGGGGCAGCAGTGACGACAAGACCTCTGGTGAGCAGAGGACCTCAACTCCAGAGCCTTGGGAGTCTGCGTACTCCGCTAAGGACGGATCTCTGGCCGAGGAAATAGAGCGCCGGTTGGAGCACCACCGTCAGGAGGTGCTGCAGAAGCTGTCATCACCAGTGAAAGAGTGGCCGCAGCTGCGTCGGTCCCCCGGGCAACACTCCAGCCGCGGCACCACACCAGAGAGAGCGACGCCTGACCTTGCCACTAGCATCACCAGCAGAGGCCGCACCTCCAGCGGTGACCACAGCAGGAACCGCGAGAGAAGTGTTTCCCCTGATGATCGCACCATAGTGACCAGCGCCGAGCATCGAAGTGGTACCTCCACCGCCGTCACTACCACACACACCACCACCGTCTGGGAGACACAAAGTGGTAAACCTCACATAGAAACACGCACTACTACTGAACTTCAAAAGGACGACCCTGGCAGTGTTGTGATTCGTCGTACTGTTGATCAAAGCATCACGACGCCCTCACCAGAATACAGTGAGCAAGAGGTGTTGTCGCCACGACTCTCAAGTCCGACACCAGACGCCGAGCAGCAGTCTCGCGATACTCGCAGTAGAACGCCCATGGGATCTAAGTCAAGATTACGCTCACGAACTCCCTCAATTGAACGAATCCTGGAAATAGAAGAAGAAACGACGGCTGTGTCTGTAGCTTCGTCCACAGATCCGCCAGTCGTAGAGGTCATGGACCACTCTCAGGAGAGGCGCACTGGCTGCGAGTCCTCTGAACACGCCCCAGACAAAGCTCAGGGCGTAGACCAGAGTGCCAAAGAGCCTGGCAGTGACTCCAAGAGCCCCAAGACTGGCCTGTCGGTGGAGACTGTGAGCATGGTGCAGTGGGAAGGTGGAGTGTCCAAGGGTGATGAGCGACGGGTCACCACCAAATTTTCTCTTCGTGACAGAGACCCGTCATACACAAAGTACGTGCTCACCTCCCGCACCACCTCCAGGGACTCCCTCTTCTCCACCCCCAGCAGTGACGACGCCCACAGCTGGGATGGCAGAGCCCCCGCCTGGGCCTCGCGCGTTGCCCACCATCAAGAAGACGAGGAGGATCATGCCCCCAGCAAGTTCCGCCTCAGGTCTCACCAATATCAAGAACACATCTCCACTTTGAAAGGTGAGCACATCACCGATATTATTGGTATATTATTATCTTCCAGTGGTGTGGCAGGCCGCTTGTCTCTCCCACCACTCCCAAACTTCCAACATTCACGTCATAGCCGTAATTTTGTATTTTGCTACGTCCAGTAAGATCCATTAAACAGTTGGAATGAATTAGATTACATCACCCTGAGCAACGGCCAGAGGTCAGGGAGGAAATTTGATCAGGCACCAATATAGACTTTATATTTACGTTACGTGCAGCCTGCTTAGAGCCTTCTTCTCCAGGAAGCTAAACCACATGCACACTTTCTTGAAACATTTATTGTGATTATTATTATTAAAAATAAGCGATAAACCCGTATGGACCAGGCAGCAGTCGCCTTGCCTTACATAATGAGGCACTACAACTCGCACCCAAACAATTACATTTTCGTCTAATTAATGCCCTGCACACTCAGTGATGTATGAGGAGCGTTGATTAGTACTTCAGCTGCAGCGAGCTGTGGTAATAACACAGCCCTGCCCTCCACTCCTGGGTGAGCTGTGGTAATAACACAGCCCTGCCCTCCACTCCTGGGTGAGCTGTGGTAATAACACAGCCCTGCCCTCCACTCCTGGGTGAGCTGTGGTAATAACACAGCCCTGCCCTCCACTCCTGGGTGAGCTGTGGTAATAACACAGCCCTGCCCTCCACTCCTGGGTGAGCTGTGGTAATAACACAGCCCTGCCCTCCACTCCTGGGTGAGCTGTGGTAATAACACAGCCCTGCCCTCCACTCCTGGGTGAGCTGTGGTAATAACACAGCCCTGCCCTCCACTCCTGGGTGAGCTGTGGTAATAACACAGCCCTGCCCTCCACTCCTGGGTGAGCTGTGGTAATAACACAGCCCTGCCCTCCACTCCTGGGTGAGCTGTGGTAATAACACAGCCCTGCCCTCCACTCCTGGGTGAGCTGTGGTAATAACACAGCCCTGCCCTCCACTCCTGGGTGAGCTGTGGTAATAACACAGCCCTGCCCTCCACTCCTGGGTGAGCTGTGGTAATAACACAGCCCTGCCCTCCACTCCTGGGTGAGCTGTGGTAATAACACAGCCCTGCCCTCCACTCCTGGGTGAGCTGTGGTAATAACACAGCCCTGCCCTCCACTCCTGGGTGAGCTGTGGTAATAACACAGCCCTGCCCTCCACTCCTGGGTGAGCTGTGGTAATAACACAGCCCTGCCCTCCACTCCTGGGTGAGCTGTGGTAATAACACAGCCCTGCCCTCCACTCCTGGGTGAGCTGTGGTAATAACACAGCCCTGCCCTCCACTCCTGGGTGAGCTGTGGTAATAACACAGCCCTGCCCTCCACTCCTGGGTGAGCTGTGGTAATAACACAGCCCTGCCCTCCACTCCTGGGTGAGCTGTGGTAATAACACAGCCCTGCCCTCCACTCCTGGGAGAACTGGTAATAACAGCCCTGACCTTTACTCCTGGGTGACCTTATCAGTTGATAAGGTCACCCAGGTGGGCGAAACGTCTTCACGGTCAAATACCATAACCCGCAGTGTGCGTTATTTGTGCCAAAGATATAGCGGCATTACCTCGGGAGGTAATTTCAAAATTACACAGCCTATTAATTTTTACCAGCTAAATATGGCGAGCCTCACAGAGTCTGGCATTAAAATAAGGTTGTGTGCCAGCTGGTTGTTAAATATAAGCCGATATAAACAGACAGCTCACGGAAGAAGAAAGAAGGAATTACAGGAGTTTACACCAGGCTTAGACTAGGTTACTGAACCACTGCAGTGTTCTTAATTAATACTGTTCTTGAATTCTGTCTGTGTACTCACTAGTTTGTGGTTGCAGGTGTTGAGTCACAGCTCCTGACCCCGATGTGCTCGGTTTTATGTGGCTGTAGGGCTCGAGTCCTAACCCAACTTCTCAACTTGCAGCTTGCTAGATTCACTCCCTCAGTTCCTGGACCATGTCGTGCCTGCTCTTAAAACTATTTATGGAGCCTGCCTCCACTTCATCGTGAAGTTCACTTCACTTCCCGACTAACCTGAGACTGAAGAAATGCTTCCTAACATCCCTGTGAGGCATCTTTGTTTCTAACTTTCAGTTGTGCCCCGAGTACTAGTTTTGCGCTTCACAAAATTCCTATCTCTATCTACTGTATAAATACCTCTGAGTATTTTGTATGTTCCATACTGGTGCTGCATACTCCAGGGCCTTACATACGTTGTGTAAAGAGCCATAAATGACTGTTGAAATTCCTGAAAGCTTCGCTTAGATTCGCCAGACAAACTTTTGCTGTAGAGGTCATTCAGTCGACGTTAACCTCCGACCATATAGGTTTATATTTTGTTTGAGTGAATTCTGCAGCCTCAGTTTCCCGAGTCTATACTCCGTTTCTGGTCTTCTTGGCTTTTTGCTCCTTCCCCAGTCTTCACAACCTTGCATTTACTGGGGCTGAATTCAAACAGCCACTTATCTGACCAGTCTCACTTTAGTTTTACAACATCAGCCAACAGGGACACATCTGAATCACTTTCATCTCGTATATGATTCACAAAAACCAGAAACAGTACTGGTCCTAATACGTATTCTTGTAAAATCCCACTAGTTACTCTTCCCCAGTCTGATACCTGTTCCCGGATATCCGGTCTGCCTCACCTTAAGTTACTCCGTGATCCACTGGATACATTCCCTGTTCTTGCTTGTATCTCAAGTTTTTGCCGTAGTCCCTTGTAAGGTACAGCTTGGAGTACAAACATTGCATTTCTCTAGCGGACCGATTCAGGTACCATGGTCTTGTGTGCCGTAAATCCGAGGGAAAGATTGCAAGACATGAGGAGGTTAATAATATTATCAAGAGGAGCCTCACAACAGCGGGATGCCCAGCAGTAAGGGAGCCACCCCAATTATGCAGATCTGATGGCAGCCAAAAGCGTCTAGATGGTATCACCCTTCAAGCCTGGATAGATGGGAAGCAGGTGGTATGGGACTACACATGTGCATCTACTTTGGGTGATACCTACTTCCAATACACCAGGGAGGAAGGAGGGGCAGCTGCCAGCTTCAGGGAGTACCAAAAGTCTAGAAAATATGGAGTACTTGCCCATCATTATATGTTTGTTCCTATAGGCTCAGAGACCCTTGGCTCATGGGGAAAGAGTGCATCTAAGTTACTTAAGGAGCTAGGCAAAAGACTCATCAGAGTATCTAGGGATCCCAGGGCAGCTAGTTTTCTGTTGAAGCGACTCAGCGCTGCTGTTCAGAGGGGTAATGCCTGCTGTTCTTTGGGCACACGCCCCAGCTCTGAGGAGCTGGATGAGATTTTCGCATTATAATCAGTGACAAACATGTAATAATATGTACTAGACATGTATCTCTCACATCTCATGTACCGTATATGCCATCTTTATATCACAATGTATCTCTTAAACCTTTTGTACCATATTATGTAATAAAATATACCTATTAGTAAAAAAATGAAAAGATGGGGTGATAGGGGAAGTGGTATATATATATATATATATATATATATATATATATATATATATATATATATATATATATATAATATATATATATATATATATAATATATGCAAAACAACCACTCTGAAAGAATAGAGAAATTCCAAGCGCTTTCGTGACTACTCACATTATCAAGGAACTATGAAAGTAAAGCATCCAAGGAAGCTATATAAGGGGTCTGACCAGAAAGTAGTATCAAGCAAGTCCATGGTCGACAGGAATATAATTGAATCTTGTTTCATAAAAAGCAGTTTTGACAATAATATGAATATTTCCTTTGGTTTATATAAATTAGATCCATTTATAATTAATAGAATTTGGGAAGAATTTAATAATACACTGGACAAATAATAATTTTTAAATTTTCTTGGGTAGAATAGTTTAGTTAGTTAGTTTAATATGTTTATTATGCACCCCATACCCATCCTGTGGGCGGTAGTCAAAAAATTACAGAGGTACATAATTGGTCCAGGGACTGGACTCCAAAGTTTTGATAGCTGAGCAAGTTACAGAGGCAATGAACTCACAATTTACAAAGGTAATGAACTCACAATTTACAAAGGTAATGAACTCACAATTTACAAAGGTAATGAACTCCAGGTAAGTCTGGTCACAATCATGACAAGTTACAAAGATATTTACAGATTACAGAGGTACGTAATGGGTCCAGGGACTGGGCCCCCAAAGTTTTGATAGCTGAACTAGGTACAAAGGTAATGAGCTCACAAGTTACAAAGGTAATGAATTCTGTAGAATGGTTAGTTTGTGGGTGAGTTGTGCAAAGGACCTATCCAAGTTGGGTCGGCGCGCGTCAGGTGTTTAACCGTTGTGGGATCTGATAGTGAGGTGCTGGTCAGACCCCTTATATAGCTTCCTTGGATGCTTTACTTTCATAGTTCCTTGATAATGTGAGTAGTCACGAAAGCGCTTGGAATTTCTCTATTCTTTCAGAGTGGTTGTTTTGCATTTTCTGAAATCACCTGTTTACTGTGATCTTATTGCATATAATATATATATATATATATATATATAATATATATATATATATATATATATATATATATATATTATATATATATATCACGACAAAGTATTATAAATCTTAGCTACCATTCTTTATATAACAAAAACTAACAGGTGGGTATTTCGGGCAGGTAATAAGAGACTCGAGGTCCAAATCTGTGGGGAGTGGCAGCAGATTGTCTGCTGAGATGACTGACATTATCATAGTAGGCGTGTCAGGTGTGTACTCTTGGGGGGACCCCCGTGTGCTCCCTGGAGGACCCGTGGGCTCCACCTGTCAGACATTGGCCAAGTGGATAGAAATCTGTGGAGTTCGTAGTTTGGGAGCTACAGGAGGAGGAGGAGGAGGAGTGAAGATGGGCTTAATATATAGATGGGGCGAGGTAACAGTGACGGGAACTGCAAAAGTGGGTTCATAAAATATGTATACAGCACAAGGAATAGTTGTAAGACTGATTCGCTATCCA